CTGAGGCAGGAGAATCACTTTAACCTGGGGGGGCGGAGGTTGCAATTAGCCAAGATCGCACTACTGCACTCCAGCCTGGGCAACACTGCGCGACTCTGTCTCAAAAAAAAAAAAAAAAAAATTAATCAACACACTACATGCGCTGAAGTGATGACTGAGGTCAACTGTCTTGCAGGAGAATTTTGGAAAACAAGAACAAAACTTTGAGTCACATTACAACGAGATCTTGGAAACACTTGCTCAAAAATATGAGGAAAAAATACAAGCTCTAGGGGAGAAAAAGAAAGAGAAGCTGGAAGCCTTATATGGACAACTGGTCAGCTGTGGAGAAAACCTAGATACCTGCAAAGAACTGATGGAAACAATAGAAGAGATGTGTCATGAGGAGAAGGTGGATTTCATAAAGGTCAGTAATGAAACGAAATGAAATAATGAATATAAAGAAAAGAGATGGAATGATAAATGGAAACGACAGTTATGGCTGAGGTAAGCTAGGTTGTCCTCTTTCCTCCTGGAGACATTGGAATCGACTTTTATGGCCAGCATCCATTTGATTCCATTGGATGATCGTGATGGGGAGGCTGTGGCCCAATCTCTCTGCATGGCTTCCACATGAGTGGCCAGGCAGACTCACAGCAGTGGACTCTCTCCCTCCCCCAGTGCGGAGGCAGCACCAGTCTTTGTTCCTCTGTTCTAGTCACCCAGATACTTGTCCCCTCATCCTGGAGCTGAGCTGAGCAAAAACCGTGCTCTAAGAGTTTTCTGGCCACCTCAGATGGCCTCTTGGAGCTCTGGGGAGAAAGTTGTCAAGGCTCAAAAGGCACCTTAAATTTCCCAGTTACAAGTGTAGCAATTAAAAATCTTACTTCACAAACTCAGACATGCAAAAAAAAAAAATCCATTTCATAATTTTCTTGAAATCAAATTAAATCTTACCCAACCCTCTACATGGCTGGGCTGTGGGAATTTCAATTTCAGTCAGAGCCGGGGTCCCCTTTCTTCACAAGGTGCCACAGGAGTAGGAGGAAGATTTGGTGTTCAGGGTGTGGGGGAGGGGCCTTCGGCCTCCAGTGCTTCCTGGTTGCTAAGTGTGGCCCCCACATTGTCCAAGCATACAGTTGCTCCTCAAAGCCCAACCATGCCTCCCTCCTGCTGTGCTAGGGGTGAGGGACCAGTGAATGAAGCTGGAGAGCAATTTGGCAGGCACTGCAAGAAACATCAATGCTCATTGGGCCCAACATATGCAGAACGTGGAGAAAGTGATAAACATGAAGGTGGGCTTCTCACTGTTATGTATGATGGTGAAAAATTGGAAACAACAAAACATTCAACAAAAGAAGAACCATTAAGTAAATGATGGCATTTCCATTCATTAACTGTTCACAATTAACTGTTATACAAGTGTTCAAGTTGATGGCCCAAAAGACCATTTATAACATGGAAAGTGCTTACATAGTGTGGGTTGTTTGTTGTTGGTTTTTCTTTTGAGACAGGGTCTTGCTCTGCTGCTTGGGCTGGAGGACAGTGGTGTGATCATAGCTCAATGCAACCTTGAACTCCTGGGCTCAGATGATCCTCCTGCCTCAGCCTCCCAAGGAGCTGGGACCACAGGCACGTGACAATGTTAATGCGGAAAAGCAGTACTGTGGTATGGAAGAAAATGCACAGAAATAAGGGTGGTTTTGTTAGGGTATGGGATACAGCTGGGCTTTTTAACTTTTTCCTAATTTCCAAGTTTTCTTCTATGTTTATGTTATTATATGTTATGTATAGTTATATCAATTGTTATATAACTATCCTATATATGTAAGATGTAACAATATGTATTATTAAATATATAGTTATATCTATCTACATTTTTATAACAATATGTTGGTAAAAGAAACTTATTTCCGGCCAGGCGCGGTGGCTGACGCCTGTAATCC